TCTCACAGATAAGATATGAAAATCCGATTGGTCATGGGCGAGACTTAACACTTCCGAGGTGATATGAACCATAGCACGAGAAAAAACAATTATCCAAGCAAAACGTCTGGACGTGCATAGTTGTAACACGAACAAGTCACCATAGGGCTAATCGAAGGGACCACAACGGAAATACAGGACGCCGTGCAGCAACCATTTCCGCATAAGCCACGAACCTGTGTGGTCTGCAATTCCACGACTTTCCGTGTGTCCCTAATGAAAAGTCGTACAGAATTCATACACCAAAATAAAAAAAGCTTCTGGAAAGCAACGATTTCAAACGAGCACACCCTCGTGTTCTTTTCTTTCTTCATACGTGGTTCTTCAAAGCGAACTTCAGACCACCAACCGATCAATGACAAAAGATACAGTGAGTCAGAATTTTAATTTTGGAACCGAACCGATAATGCGAATTTTAAGTTGGAGGGAAATTCCGAATAGAAAATGCTCAAGCGATGATGACACTGGGCCAGAGCTTGACTCGTCTAAGATACACTCAATATTTTTCGAAGCGGGTTCGGTAAACATAATCATAACAAAACTTTGAATTGGTCTTACTAACGAACAACAATATCCTCTAATGTACAGGTGTTGATCAAACCCGTGCAACATCACCCTGATTTCCGAAATACATTTCAGTCTTCAATACTTGTGTATTGATGGCTATGGGTAACGTATATTTATTACTGATTTCATCTCCCACTTCTATGTTCTTAGTTCCCTTCTATCACCGTTTGACTTAGCGTGAGCTTGAGTGTTGTGATAAAATTTGTAGTAGTTTGAAAGCTATAGCTCAGATTTGGAAAATATTTCAGGCGAAGTAGCACGGGAATTCACTCTTTTTAATACAAGATTTCGGTAACTGCTATTCTTTAATTACATTCACGGAAGTCATGTTTTTCACAGATGAAGGTTGGTTCATTTTCTCGTTGGGGTTGATAGTAAAAAACGGTCAGACTTAATTAAATATTATTTTTACGTTTATGCAGTCCCTGGAAGGGTTAAGTTCAATGCCAAATTCATTCAAATACCGCGCAGCACCTGGGATTTTCATTTAATCGAGAACGTTTTACCGTACCAGAAACCGGGATAAGTCAGCTGTTATGACAATGGTTACGGTGCGGGGTGTATTAGCGGAAACTAGCTAGGGAAACAGCAGATGGAAAACATATGGAGCAACTTTTATAATATAAATACAATTTTTTTCGTAAGATTTGTTCTTTCCTCCATTCGGAATTATATCTCCGACGTGGTTAGCGAAATCGTTCTACGCGAAAACAACCAGCTAGCAAAAAACAAAAAGAGCTTTGTGTGGGCCCACATTAGAGGATGTTGTTGTTCGTTAGTAAGACAAATTCAAAGTTTTGTTATGATTATCTGTTTACCGAACCCGCTTCGAAAAATATTGCGTGTATCTTAGACGAGTCAAGCTCTAGCACAGTATCATCATCGCTTGGGCATTTTCCATTCGGAATTTCCCACATGACGCACCTCTCCACAACTGATTCTCTACCAACACTTAGGCAGCATCGGATTCAGAACCTATCCTCCTCCTGTGCCGGCCCGAAAATCACATGACTGATCGGTCCAATGGTTCAGCCGCAAAAAAGAACTTGGTGCTTACCCAGCTAACCCGAGCGAGGAACCACACTTTTTACAGCTGTCTCCGGCAGGCCCAGTGAACTTCGACGGTGCAGCAGGAGTGCCATCAGCACACGGATGGAGTGGACCTGACAACAAGAGCATTACAAAACGTACAAGCCGGCAGTCAGACAGTCTCGTGTTGGGGGGAGGGATTTCAAGCGCCGCAGATCGCGGAATATCAGATCAGATCACAGAAAGGGTCAGAAGGAACTTACTTGTTCAAGGTCACGGGTGAGAGGGCCCAGACGATGGTAAACGATGAAGCAATCACACTGTAGAACAGAATTTCCAAAAGCGGCGTTTTACCGCTTTCTAAATTGCAATATGCTGATGACTAGCATTCGCCGTTTACGAAAACCCGTTAAGGCCCAAAAGAATAAGGAGAGAATCACGAACCCCCCCCCCGGACGGTTTCCGTCGAGGAAAACGCATCACCGCCGAGTGTTGTTTTTGATTCATCAGCTGGTTTTGTCAGGTTACGTTCCGGTAAAGCATTGATACACCTTAATTTCTGCCAGTCACAACTTGAATTTTGTCTCGCGTAGTGGAACACCAATTCCAGATTGCTTGGAGCACAGCACATGGGTTCGGATGAGCGTCATATTGATAAGTCAAGTCTTAATAAGCCTAACATGACAAAAGTATTTCGCGAAATTGGAAGGGTATCATGCACTTTATCAAATGAAAACAGTTTGGTTATGATCATTGTCTACAATTAAGCAGAGCATTTAACGAAACAGCACCGGCAGAGGAATATAAATTAAGTTTTATAGTTTGAGCGATGTGGATTTGAAGGAACATATGGTGCCTGCGAAGTACGAGCTCGTTCAGAGGTCAGAGAAAATGGTACTCAGCTAGATCACACTGAGCAATTTACCTCCACGGGAATAAGCGAAAGTAGGGTCTACGAGATGTCTATGTGAGGTAATTAATTATTATACACCGGAAGACTGTATTGAGCCCGAAATTGATCGACCAAAGTCCGGCACCCATGCACCCAGCTACGAATGGATCAAAAAGCCAAAAGTGTTCATTGGAGATCTCGAAGTGTGGAGGCACGAGGAATTCACACCAGAGCTAAGCATATATAACGGGAAATGAGGAAATGGAGGTAGCGATGGTAATTGGGGATAAGGTTACGGTAGACTTGTCAGATGATTCGCACAGTTCAAGTTTTTCTGTTAAAGATATTGTGCTCCAAAATCGGTCCAGGCAAAGGTTTGAACTCGAGCGTAGAAGTAGACAGAGGGAACGGGCGGAGAGGCAGAGGAGGAAGGGAAATCGGCATTTTCAACATGAACCGGGGAGACAGAGAGAGGAACACAGAGATCATGGAAAACGGTGGGAAGGGAATCGTGGAAGCAAAATGATTGGTTAATGTGACAAGAATGAGCTGTGCAATGAACCCAGCAAAACCAAGACCGGGTGGACTGGGATCAACAGACATATATGGGAATTAGGCCACATTCAAAGTGAGGAGAGTAACTGGTAGATGAAAGCAAAAACCCATGAACAACAGTTTGAAGAAGGGTAGAAACAGGAACAAACAATAAGGTATTTCAAAGCGAGCTGTTTTGTGTAGAAAAAAATTAGCCAAATAAGTTGCAGTGTTAGTCGGTTGTCACCTTGTTCAGTCTGCACAAACGCGGCAAGATGGTGGATGATTGGCGGCATGTGCAATTGATTGATCAATCGGATGGGAACACAAGTATAGAACAACATTTTCACATCTTTGGGGATTTCCAAGGACGTGGGCAGATTCACACAGACGATTGTGGTCAGGTTTCACAACTGAACTCACGTTTGAGCCAAGACAAGAAAACTAATCAGTTGCAAATCAATGAACATGGGTTTGTGAGTGAGCACAGAAAGTGCCCCAAAATGAATCATACGAATTGTAGAGGAAAGTGGTTTCAGATCAAAACCACGGCAGCACAACTGGCATGTTTTATGGTTCGATGGAAAATAGCAGCTCAAAACAGGATGTGAGGGGGGAGGGAAGATGGCCAACAGGATGAGAGGAAATCTGGTAGGTCTACTGATGTCAGACCCTATTCGTTTTTCATATGGAAGCGATTCAAATGCATCATAGACAGACAGACCAGCGTAGAAACATTGAGAAGTGAAGTCAGTCCAACTGTACAAAATATTCGAGGGAGAGATAGAAACGTGTTCACGGGTTCAAGAGGTGCTGTCCACTAGATTCAGTTCTCGCCTTGTTCACAAGTGCACCTGGCACCTGTCTACCAGGGAGTTCCAGTGACAGCCAACAAAAGTAAATATGCGCGCGCCCGCGTGTGTGTATGTGTGTGTACCTACTTCTGCGTGACACGGGGGAAAAACAGATGTGTACTGTGTATTGGTCCGGCACGAAAGCAAATCGCCTCAATCAAAACCAGATCCAATAGCGCATCAGACTGGTAATTAGAGCTGAAAACACAAGAGACGCATGGATGAGCAGAGAGACAAACAGACAGACATTCACATTATTGACCCTTTGTTTTCGTGGACTCCAAGGGAGAGGGATCAAGTATCAGGTCAAGAGGAAACAGAAATTTAGTGTGTTGAGGACAAATACACTAGACACATCAAAACAACAACAGGAATACCTCTGTGGGGCTCGTGTTGACGAAAGCGTGTGTATGCGCGCACGCACGCAACGACAGACGGACGGAGGGAGGGACGCAGATACACATAAAACGAAAGAACGAACACATGAGATCAGGAGAAAATCAACAAAGAAGAGAACTTAAGAGAACATGGGAGAAAACAAAAACCGCAAATTTCCTATTCATGACTGATCAGATCACATTGAAATACTTGTTTTCACAAAGTGAGAATGAAGAAAGAAAACCAGGATGTAAACGGTTTTTCATTGAGATTCTCTTTATCGAAGTGAAAGAGAGAATTTAGGTCATCAGTATGCCATGATGACACGTGACAGCCTTCGACAGACCAAAGTGAACAAAGGTGAAGAAAGTAGGCTTTCAGTCCATTACACAAAACCAACAAAACAGTGTTCGCCACGGTATTATGGACAACGTGTGAGGTGTAGGGTCAGAGGGAGAGGAGGACGGTGGATGGGAAACTTTGAGCATAGCCAGTATTTGAACGAAAGGGAAATGCCGCGCGTAACGAGCATTGGTAGTGCATAGATTTCGCTGCTAGAACACGACTGCACAACGATGCACTTCACAGTACTGATAGGGCGGCTTCACCAAGTCATTCTGTATCACGAGGTGACAGAAACAACGACGACAGCAAGCGACAAATTTGGGACAAACAGGAAACCGACGATAAACGCAACCACAATCAGACTATTTTGTGGTCGATGGTGAATTCGACGATGAAGTTGAGCCAGCAATTGGAGATGGAATGGATGGAGTTGGCGCTTTGCTACCATTACTACCGGATGGAAACTGGATCAGGCTGGTTGCACTGTCTCCACCACCTCGATACTCGGTTGATTCACTACTACTCGCCGGACGATCACGGCCCGTTCTATGCTGGGATGAGGATGCGCTGTCGTTCTCATCATCCGACGACCGTTCTTCACAAATAGACGGGGGTCTAGGCATGTTACTTCGCTGAGTCAGTGATAAGACCATACTGTCGTCCTCGGCGGAATATTCCCCACTGCTACTCAGGCGGGATTCGGCAGTTTTGGAAGCTTCTCGTCCGCCATCATTACTCACAGAGGACGTGTACGACCAGCAGGGATTTGAATTGGAATCTTTGTGTGGAGGCATTCGTTCATTAACCTTATCAATCGCTTTCGCCTCCTCAAAGTTCTGAATTTTATGCGGAGTCCATGTGCCCGACATTGCTGAAATAAAAAAGGTAAGTCCATTGAATCAGTAGGAGTAATTGGTATCTTATCACTAAAACACTGTATGGTGATATGGGTTTCACGAGATATCGAGTGACAAGCTGATGAATGCCGCAGATATTGAAGGAATCCATGTTAATCTGTGCAATTGAATTGTAACCAAGCTGTAGGAAAGTTTTGTCGGCTGTTCAAGCTACTGATTTAAGGAACCCACGGATAAAGCGAACAAAATCAACCGCTGGGAAGAAGAAATAAATATACTGGACAGCACCTGATAATGTAGTTCTCCGGACCGACAGGTGGTTATAGAGTTATTCGATATTCAGTGGCTCATAGTATACCGGGATCGAATTAACACAACGGGGGACAGTATCGACTCTTACTCGTGATCAACTCAACTTGGTTTCGAATATCACCGATTGCATAGCGATTTTCACATCAAACAAGGTGGTGAAATCGAGGTACACTGGGGTATAGCAAACGGTAAATCAACATCCCAGACGGCCTGTCGTGCAGTGTGAACAATCAGAAACCCAAGCCACAGGACGGCAATGCCAAAGAAAAGTTACACACCAAAGCCAGCTAGGGAATGCGATAACTTATTCACACGAACGTCACACTGAGTACGTAATAATATAGCTCTATTGGACAGAAGTAGAATAATGCCAACTATTTAGAAACTTGACTGGACGCGAAACATAGACAACTGTAACCACACAAAAATAACCGTCAATCACACACACACACACACACACTCACCGCCTTTGATGGTCTCACGTCCACCAGCCAACGCACCCAGGGGCAGCATTCCAGTAGGGGTCAAGCCCTTCAATTCCAGAATGGTTTCACTTTCCTCACTGTGATTGCGTTTTCAAAACGGGGAAGCGGTTGGGTAAAAGAGAAACAATCATGGTTGGTCAGGTAAGGCGTAGAGCACATGCGATTCGCGCAAAACTGGTATTACAGAGTAAAAGGTCCCGCTTATTGCACACAACAAGATAATACTGACAGTGATAAGTTCAAAAATCATGAGCATTGAGAAAATAGCTAAAACAGAGAGAAACTTGGCAAGATGTTTTCATCGGTGTGTTACAAAACATGTAGTCACTTCTTAATGAGTGCACTACTGTATTTTCTAAGGACATGAAAATTGGATACTTTGCTGTTTTGAAGCCTAGAGGCAGGAGAGAGACTCATCACGACAAATTAAACTGACTGTCACGTAGGTGGCTCAATGCGAAAGAATCAGAGAGAACCCGAGTAACAGAAAGAGGCTGCTATCCACACGAGACGGACACGATCGCCGACAAGGCAAGTCAAGAAACACCTAATGCACCAAAGTATAAAGTTTCAGCTATAATGGACGCGAAAAGAGAGGGATGTGAAGCAAGAGAGTGGAGCTGTTGGACAGCAATGGATTACGAGAATTGGATTGCTGTAAAAGTGCAAAATCGAAAATACCCACTGAAAATCCGGAGAATTAGTCCAACTTGGTAAAGGCACGACCGAATTTAGAGGCCCCACAGAAAGAACTACAGCACTGTTTTTAATTTACATTTCATGAAGGCAGAATGTGACTGCAGAACCTTGGGAATTGAATTCAAAAAAATTTCCGTCCACATTGATAGGCCGAGGTTCGCAGGCATCTCCCCATTCTGTTCACCATCTCAAATACGACACAGGTGCTTTCTGATATCAAACTGATGAACTGCTAGCTACGGAGTCTTGATTATGAAATATGACAACCAACAGTTGAAAGAAAACGCANCGCAACGAAAACACGGAAGAATCGGTCGCAACTCGGCGCTTGGATTCGCAAAATGTAGCGGAAATTTAAGCGACGCATTAAGCTTGAACAACGCCCCATATAAATGCTAAGATTGGTGATAATGCTCAAACACAGACATACAATAAGCCAGATGGGTGACATGTGAGTACTGCTACTACCTCGAACAGCAATGAAAGAAATGCATAAACGCTCTACGATAGGTCATTAGGCACCCGAAAGCAGGTTTTGCGATACAATACCTTCCCGTACACCACGGCTTATTGTAATTGTAACCCGTAACAACGTACCAGACGTTTGCTCGATTTGCCCAGATCGACTTTTGGGCTAAGTATTTCGCTTATCTGAGTCAACAATTTAGGCGGATCCATTGCTCGAAACGCGAACAATAATGCCCCCCCCCAACCGTGCGGATTATTCGTCCCGGTTTTTGTGACTTAATTAGCATAGTACGCGGACAAAATCATCAATCATTTGAAAGAGAACAAGATAGTTTTGTCGAAACAAAAGACGGAAAAGGGAAGAGTGTGGGTGCATATCCCTTCGTG